CATCCCAGTGCACGAGGCTCCCACCAATGCGGGGTCTGGAGAGGGACAGATGTACGCAGCCTTACCCCTGCACATACAGAGAGTCTGTTTCCAAGATTTGAACCCTGGYCAGCCAGGTTGCAATGGAGCAACCCTGGTCACCAAGGCCCACCCTCAAGATATTGACTCCAATACAAAACCCAATAACTGACTCCATAAATTGAAGTTCTATTTTTCTTAGACTAGACCATTTGGCATAACTAATCATCAACAAATTCTTGACAAAAGACTCAAATGCAAACCTTTGTTTGATCTCTTATTGATGTCCTATGTTTCTCCAACTGATCCAAAAGTTAAAGATAGGAACAAGGTTCATAGAACCACCACTCACCCAAAATCCAGGCCACCCCAACGGTTAGATGATGACATAAAAGTGCAATCTGTAGAAAGATGATGAGGTATTCTATTGGAGTTCCACTCTTCTAGATTAGAGTTCTGAAGGGTGTAAAAGGGAGTAAAAGGGAGTTGCAGAAGTGCAGTCTAGAGCTCTTGAGTTTTTATCATTTCTGATATACTGTATCATGTCCCCTTCATTTTCACAGCATCAATATAAAGCTCACTAAGTTACCAAACAAAAAAAGTGAGCTAAACATCCTGAACAAACTTGTGGGTACGTAACTGGTTGTTATGGAAAAATTAGTAAGATATCCACCATCTTTCAGTAACTTTTATAGGCTTGGGAGTAATCTTGTAGATTGCATTGTCATCACAAACACATCCGTATAGGAAACAATACAATCATTTTCCAAAAGCTATTCTCAGAAGATAGTTGATCCAAAWATGCCCTTGTGTCTCCAATTCATGTCTCAAGCCCCACACCTTCACCAGACCTTCAGAGACTTCTAATCTTAAAAACCATTAAAAAACTCRATGCAAAAAATGCAATAAGGTACATTAAGAATCATACGGAAATGTGGACTACGCACATTTCCACCATATCAAATGACAATAGAGGATAACAAAACCATCTAGAAAATTAGGTTGGAAGATGAAGCATTAGTAGTTTACATGGATTTTCTGCAACTCCACCAGTACTGTCAGCATCATACTCAAGCTCCTCATCACTATCTTGTTTTGTTGGTTGGGGAAGTAGAGATACCTTTGAGTAAGCAGGAACAACACATTGTTGCCCAATTACAATCTGTAAAAATATAAGAAGTTAATACATAGAAGCACAGCAATAAATTTGGAGAAAAGAGGCAGTCAATAAATCACCAGAAGAATGAATTTTTCAACCTGAACATTATACTCCAAAGAAAACATTTATTGAAAAAATTGTAAAAAATAGTAAAATGATAGATGATAAACCATGCTATCCTTCTATACAAATCACATATATGACTTCAGTTTGATTTGTGGGAAAAAGGTGAGAAGCTTATATGTCATTATTATTGTGACTAAGATGAGAGATAGCCTACACTATTATCGTTTGACCAAGGCGGTCGAACCGTTCAACTCGGTCACTGGATCACGGGTTGCACACTTAATGTATGTGCAAACTTTCAGAGGCCATAACTTTGCACTCAGATGTCCGATTGGGGTACTTTTTTATTTTGGGTAACTTCTTGAGATCTATGCATCCCAAGGTGTCAAAGCCGCATTACCCCATTATTTTTTCCAAAAAAAWTCCTGTTTTGGCCTCAAATTGCAACTTTTAGCATTTTTTACAAATAAAAAATTTAAAAATACAAATTGAATATAAAATGATGAATATATTACATGTAAAATAAATTTGTACACTATTTATAGATAAAATGTGCTTATACATGTGTGTGTATATATACTATATTTGCTGACATGGCATGTCTGACATGTTCAACCTGGCCGGTCAAACTGGTGACCCGTGACCCAGAGGCAAAAACGGTTCAGCCTCCAGGTTGGTTTTTAAAACATTGGGAAAACCAGACCTGGTGTTATAAGAGGAATCAATGTAGGAACAGGCTGATGCAAAATGTATTATAAGTATATGGTCAGGTACAAAGAAGATGAACACAAGAAGGTTTCTGCCAAGAATCTGACCATTAAATCTATGCCCACTCCAAATACAGTGTAAGGCAACTCAGGCCRTCAAGCCCACCATCCCTCGAATGATGAAGAGTTCAATTCTCAAGAAGAGTCTGGTTCTGGTTCTGAATCATCACCCAAAAAACACCACCAGCCAACTCAAGGTGCCAATT